GCAGACGCCATGCAAGTAAACTTGCCTGGGCCTCGTCGAACTCTTCACGCGGGACTCCTCGTGGCCGCGCGGCGTGCTCGCCGCGCTACGCGGCGTGCCCGCGGCGCGCCGCGCCGGCTGCCCCCGCGGCCGCGCGGCCGCCGCCGCGGCGGCCGGCGCCGCGCTCGCGCTCAGGTCCACGCAGCGCACAGGCACGGCGGCGCGCGCGGAGCTGCGCATGGCGCCCCCGCGGGAGGGCGCCCGCCAAGCGGCCCCCCTGCCCAAAGCTTTCGAACGGCAAGTGTCGGCGGCGAGCGAGGAGGGGGGAAGCGAGGAGGAGAAGGCCTCGCAGAGGGCGGCGGGGCGTCCGCGGAGCCACGGCGCCTTCGGAAAGGTGTTCGGTGTCGATGGGGAATGCACAGACAGCTTCTCCGAAGGCCACAGGTCTTCCGAGCCTGCTGAGAAGGCCCGCCCCCTCTCGTTTCCCCGCCCAGGCTGGCCACCGAAATTTAACTCGAATTTCCCCTCGTCGTCCTTCCCCTCGCCATCCTCCTCCTCCTCCTCCTCCTCCTCCTCCTCCTCCTCCTCCTCCTCCTCCTCCTCTCCTCCTCCTCCTCCTCCTCCTCCTCTCCTCTTCATCATCATCATCATCATCATCATCATCATCACCATCACCATCACCATCACCATCACATCATCATCATCATCATCATCATCATCATCATCATCATCATCATCATCATCATCATCATCATCATCATCATCATCATGTTCATCATCATCATCATCATCATCATCATCATCAGCATCAGCATCAACATCATCATCATCATCATCATCATCATCATCATCATCATCATCATCCCCATCGTCATCATCGTCATCGTCATCCTCATCCTCATCCTCATCCCCATCCCCATCCCCATCCTCATCATCACCATCACCATCACCATCACCATCATCATCATCATCATCATCACCACCATCATCATCAAATATCCTCCTCCTCCTCCCGATAATCAGCGGTGGCCGCCGCCTGGGAATAATCATGTTCCCGCTATTGCTGGGGATCCGAATTCGCCATCAAGCCCACGCCAAGCATGTGCACTTCACAATTATCCGCGGGGGTCCAGACCCTTCGCAGCTATACCCCGAGATCTGGGCGCTGCTATAGTTGAGGACTAGCAGCGAACGGGCCCCTAACCCCTGCCCCTTTGGGAACGGACCTAAAATCAACAGCATCACCAATCAAAAGGTCGCTCGGAAAACCGGGAACATCGCACAAGCCGAACTGCAATAGGCAAATTCATGCTACGACTCATGGCGTGAACAACTTTCGACACTGAAGTAGCGACAGGAGAAGGAGGAGGACGAAAGGGAGGAAAGGGAAGCCAAACAGTGAGGGAGGAGGAGGGGGAGGAGGAACACAGATGGCTAAGAACACAGAACTGACGAAAGGAGGAGGAGGAGGAGGGAAAGGAAACCCGATGGCTAAGAACAGAGAACTGACGAAGCGGAGGAGGATGAGGAGGGAGGAGGAGGATGGAGGGAGGAGGGGAGCAGGAGGAGGAGGAGGGGAGAGGAGGAGGAGGAGGAGGAGGAGGAGGAGGAGAAGGAGGAGGACCAGTGCAAACCCAAGAGTCATCAACGACGTCGGTCTAAACCCTCCCTCCAAGCTCCCTCTTCGTAGGCCCCCACAACGGTTCATTTCCATTGATGGAACTGCCTCGTTGGAAGACACCAGTTTGAAGACCAATTTGGAGACCAATTGGAAGACACCAATTTGGATTCCAACGCCACGGATCAACCGGACTGTTGCGTCTTGACGATCTTGAACCGTGCCAGAACGCCATCCCTAGGCCTTCAACACGGAAAACTAAAGTAATGGCTTCACCCGCATAATCCATGATCCTTCCAAAACACCTTTTTTGGTAAGTTGATGATGGGAATCAGTGCCCCCCCCTTGCAAATGTTTAAAACGAATGTGCGCGGCGCTACAGCGAGAGCCACATTTTGAAAACCATCCGCCCACAACCAATGAAACTCTAGCAGTTATTTGAACGAATGTGCGCCGCGCTAAGGCGAGAGCCACATTTTGAAAACTACCCACCCTCTATCCGTGAAGCTCTTGTAACTGTTCAAACGAATGTGCGCGGCGCTGAGGCGAGAGTCACATTTTGAAAACGACCCACCCTCAATCCGTGAAGCGGTTGCAAATGTTTGAAACGAATGTGCGCGGCGCTAAAGCAAGAGCCACATTTTGAAAGCCACCCGCCCACAATCAGTGAAACTCTTGCAATTTTGTTAAACGAACGTGCGCCGCGCTAAAGCGAGAGCCACATCTTGAAAACGACCCGCCCTCCATCTGCGAAGCTGTTGCCAATTTTTTCAGCTTCAGAATCATAAGTGGTGAGGAAGTCTCAGGCGAGACGCCCGGCCCGCCCTAAAAACTGGCTTTAGGGTGCGACAGGGAGAAGTTATCGATGAGGAAAAGGAATGGGTGAGGGGGAGGGGGAGGGGGAGGAGGAGGAGGAGCAGGAGGACGAGGAGGAGGAGGAGGAGGAGGAGGGAAGGAGGGAGGGGCGGGGAGGACGCAAGGCTGGGCAGCGTGGTCCCTCAAACTTGCGGGCACGCACATTGGACGGTGGATGCACAGCGGGGGCCCAACATGGGGCAACGAACCAAGGCCATAATTGATTGGAGCAGCCGGTGACGGAAGATGTCCCTGATGCCCATCACGCTGAAAAGTGGCAGGAGGATGGGGAGGGACGAGAAGGAGAGAGAGAGAGAAGGTGAACAAAACATAACGATAAGCACTGGGCGTACGCACTCGCCAACAGAATATCGACCATACGGAATTTGGCACCTCGTGCCCAGCCAGGCTTCGGGGAAAGCGAGGAGGAGACAGGCAGAGGAGGCGGAGCGCCAGACCACCCCACCCTGGAGGGGCTAGCCGGAGCTTCGCCTCCGGGGGGCGAGCGCGGGAGAGAAGACATGGGAATCCGGCGACGCCTCCTTGAAATCTGAAAGCGCACGGACCTAAGTTGAGATGCCCAATCCTTTAGAGATAAGGGGTCTTTGCTGCAGAGGAATCAAACCAAACCGCCCACATGGACTCTCCCTGATGCAAAGATGGGGTCTTCTTTGATGCATTGATCTGCCCACCGTCACAAACGGCGAACCTATCTGTCTCCGCGCTCTCGCGGTGTGGATTCCGGGGCGCGATCCCGCGGATGCGTGGTCGCACGGAGGCGTTCCGCGCGAGGCATCCGCGAGACAAATCGCCCCGTATCCGTGGTGTCGCAGCCCAGGGGGCCCCGTCCCGCGAGGCCGAAGATACGGATGTTCGCCCACGACACCGGGCGTTGTCGCCTGGTTTCGGGCCCCCCCATGGGGCCATCACAGATCGATCTGGGACGGGAGCATCCACCGGAAGGATGGAGTCTGGGGCTCTGGCCGTGCTCTCTCGCGGTGCTGCATTTTCTGCGCAGCATCGGCTCTCAAGGTGCACGTTGCCTCCTGGCTTGGCCAGGGAGGCATGCGTATCGACTCCTGGCCCAGGATCCGGCATGGCTGCTAGAGTCGGCGTGGAGCAGAAGCGCATCCCTCAAGGACATGAGACCCTCCGTCGGCCAAGACAAACATAACATTCCAGGATACCTTCCCCAGGATGCACAAGAACACCCAGCAGGTACGGAGAACACGAGGGTACCCTCCCCGACCCGACCTCGACCTGATGCCCCCGTCCGACGGTAGCTGGCACCCCCCGCCCCCCGCGCGGCCAGCACCGCCACAGAGCGGGCTGGAGGGGGAGCAGGGTCACCAGACAAGATGCTCGGGGCGGCAGGATGGTACTGTGGTACCCTGCGCGTCACAGTTTGGGCCGCGCTCGAAGGGCTGGATGTATTTCAGATCTCCTGTCAGGGAAGCAACTTGTTCCACGGAACACAGCCCCATCATGTGTTATCACGCCTCAGCCAGCACAGTGAAAGAATTCGCCACTGCCTCCTGCAAGGAAAGCAATTGCTGCGAAGCATGGGAGGGCAGAGCAGGGATTATGACCTTCGCAGCAGCATGCTCATGTGATTGTAGAACTAGTGGCAACTGAATTGCCCACATCGGTGATTAGCCAGCAGGGAGAACCTCGACACTGATGCAGGGTGGCAATCGCATATGCAGAACAGCACACGTAGCACGTACAATCAACTGGTGGCACTGCATTCGCTTGCATAGGGGACACCCGTCCTCAAGGACATCTGTATGCGCCAACGCTTGGTCGTATGTGACCAGTTGCAGAACTCCCGAAACACCCCCAACTTGAACCTCTTGGAGGGTCTAGGGCCGCGGACCTCAGGCAGGGACCGAAAAGGGACGGCGAGGGACCAGGGAGGGGCACGGGGCGGGATGATGAGGATGGGAGGGGGAAGACCAGAGTCAGCCCAGAATGCATCAGCGATGCTTCAAAACACCCTCCCTTCCCAAGGATGGAATGAGGGAGGAGGAGGGCAAGGAGCAGGAGTAGGAGCAAGAGCAGGAGAAAGAGAATGAGGAGGAGGAGGAGGAGGAGGAGGAGCAGGAGGAGGAGGAGCAGGAGCAGGAGAAAGAGGAGGAGGGGGAGGAGGAGAAACCCCCTCCTCGCATCATTCACAGCGGACGTGCCTTCGTTCTCGATTGCTGGAGGCGCCCCACATGAAAGATGGGAGCCCTACCGTCGAGACCCTCGGGCGAAAGCCCCGACGCGCGAAGCACACCACACGCGCCCGTCGAGACCACCGGCTGCAGGGTCTGGCCATCGCTCGGACGTCCACTCCCTGTGCTTTTGTTCGGTTTCGTGCGTGGCTTCTTCGCCGAATGATCCAGGATGCTCCTCGATGGTCCTCGCCGAGGGGAACATGCACACGTCTGAGCGGTGCCAAGAGCGCGCCCAAGCCAAGCGGAACGCCCCGCGAGAGCTCCGCATCGAGAAGGAGCGGCGCGGCCCGGCGGGCCCCGCCCGAGAGCGGCCAGACCCTCGCCGCCGCCTCGAGGAGCATCGGCGCGGCCCAACCAGCCCCGCCCGAGCGGCGGCGAGGCGCTCGCCGCCGCCGCCGCGGCCGTGGCCGCCGTGGCCGCCACCGCCGTGGCCGCCGCCGCCGAGCGCCGCCGCCGGGCGCCGTGGCCGCCGCGGCCGTGGCCGCCGCCGTGGCCGCCGCCGTGGCCGCCGCCGTGGCCGCCGCCGCCGAGCGCCGCCGCCGGGCGCCGTCGAGCCGCCGCCTCGCCGCGGCCGCCGCCGCCGTGGGCGCCGCTGTGGGCGCTGCCGCCCGAGGCGGCCGCGCGGCCCGAGGCGGCCGCGGGTGCCGCGCGGGGCGCGCGACGGCTCACGGGTGCCGGGCGCGGCCCCGCGCGGCGCTCGCGGCCTGGCGCGCGCGGAACTTCTTGGACGGGGGTCCTGCCCCGCGGCGCCGCGGCCGCAGCGGGGCGGAGGGGGGGGGCGGGCCCGCCGGGTCGTCCCGCTGCTCCGTCCCTGCTGCTCAGAGGCAGGTCCTCGGGTCCCGAGGGGCAGCGATGGGGAGGGGCTGGCACAGGGGGGATGCATCGACCTGGAATCGGCGATACATCGCCGATAGATCGGCGACAGGCCCCTGATGGTGAATCCGCACCTTCCTGGGCAGGTTGGGGCTATCGGGCCTCTATCGGCGATCAATGGGCGATTGTATGTCGATGCATCCCCCCCTATGCCTATACCCCACTATCGTTGCTCTGAGGTCCTCCCCAGACCCCCCAGCCCTTTTCTTGTTCAATCAACCTGTATAGTAGGCATGCGCGATGAGGATGCAAAGGCCTTGCGCGTCCTCTTCGAAGCTTTTCGAGTGGGGCGCGGCCAACGAAGCTGGCCAAGGATGGACCGAGGAGGCAAGGATGCAAGGTATCCTTGGGAAGGTTGAACATCCCAGCCACGCGGGTTAACTGTATATCTACATCTATATATGTATATATGTATAAGTATGAAAACAAATGTGTGTATAGGTTTAGCTGTACTAATACAGAGAGTACCTGTATACATCGAAAACTGATCCAGCTAGACCTTGGTCCCGCTGGGGGCCGCTGGGTCCCGAGCGCACCTGGAGGGCCCAAGACGGCTCCTGATGGCTCCCAGAGGGCCCCAAGCTGGGCCAAGAGGGCTACAAGACGCCCGCGATGGCCACAAGACAATCCCAGATGCCCCCTTTCGTTCTAAGACACCCGCAGAGGCCTCCCAAGGGAGCCCCTGAGGCCAGACTCGCCAAATTCCTTTTTGCAAAACGTTTTTTTCAGCATCAACTACTTCTCGCCTTCCCGACGCTCCACCACGGCACGAGACGCCCCCCAGATCGCCCCAAGGTGGCTCCAGGGGCGCGCAAGCGGCCCCCACGACGGCCCAAGAAGGCCCCAAGAAGGCCCAAGGGGCGCCCAAGGCGGCCCAAGGGGGCCCCAAAAGGGCCCCCGAGAGGCCCCAAGGACCCCCACAGAGGCCCCCAACAGGCCCCAGCTTCCCAAGAGGCTCCAAAAAGGCCCCAAGAGACGCCAAAGCAGCCTCCAAGGGGGGTCAAAACTGCTTCCGAAAAGCACACGCCTCCTGGGCCCCCCGGATTTGCACGGCAACGGTCAGAGAATCGATGCATCGATGTATACATAAGTACACAACATATATCAGCGACGGAAGGTTCTCGCTCTCGCTACCGTCAGCCTCCGGGGTCCCCGACCAGGCCTCGGAACGGTCAAGAAGCACCTCGGGATGGAAAACCCGTGGCGGGGACTAGGTCGAGACCTCTGGGGTGTCCCCTGTCGCACCACCCGGCATGTCCGCAGGATGGGCTGGGCGTTTGGCTCGAGACCTCCTGGCAGCCCGCAGCACTGAGTCTTGAAAGCAGCTCCCACGGTCACACGCAAGGAGGGCTCGGCGTCTTCACAATAGGGCTCTCGCCTCAGCACCGCGCGCATTCGACTTAAAAGTTTCCTGGCGTCGGCGACTCGGCAGGGGTCGTCTGCGCTGGCGGAAGGAGCTAATGAAACGGGGGCACCGTTGTAGCGAATTGGCCATCGTGCAAGAGGAGGGGGGAAGGAAGAGCGGGCGGCCGCGGGGGGGGGGAAAGGCGAGGGCCGCTCAGGGGGGGACGGGTCATTCCCAGAGCGGCTAGCGGGGACAGAGGCGGCTGCTGCGCCGGGGTTCCAGCGGCGGCGGGGCCGAGTACGGCATTCGACTTCACAAACACTGCAACAATCACAAGAACGGAGGGCGGGTGGTTTTCAGACTTGCGTTTTCGCCTTAGCGCCGCGAGCACTCGTCTTCAAAGCTTGCAACAGTCACGGGGATAGAGGGCCCGTGGGTCTCAAATAAGCTCCTCGGTGAAGTCATGGTCAGATTCTACGACTCGACAACCGGACGGAGAGCGACTCGTTTTCGACAGAAAGCTCTCGCCAGAGTCTCACACCGATTCGACCGAGACTTAAACTTGTTCGCCCACTGCCCGGCTGGAGGGCATATTCTCCTCAGAACGGGGCTGTCGATTGACAGCTCCGTTGACTTGACCATCGACTATGATTGTTTCCTTTTGGCTTAAAGGATCAAAGGTACATCATCTACACAACTGGGTCTCGCCTGAATGGAAATCATTGTCAGCTTACTCCAGTCCTCCTCCTCCTCCTCCTCCTCCTGCTCCTCACCTCTCACTCTCCTTCCTCCTGCGCCTCCTTCTCCTCCTCCTCTTTCTCCTTTCTCTTCTCCTGCCCCTCCTCCTCCAGATCTTCCCATTGTTCCTGCTCCTCCTCCTCCTCCTCCTCCTCCTCCTCCTCCTCTCCATGCTCATACATGTCCTCCTCGTGCTCCCTCACCTCCTCCTCCTCCTCCTCCTCATCCATTTGCTCCTCATCCATCTGCTTCTCCTCCTCCTCCTCCCTCCTCCTCCCACTGACCTGTCTCACGCTCCCCTGTTCGCGTTGCCAAGGCGGAAGCAACGATGATCGTCAGATCCTTCGTGGCAGGGATGGATGTGGGCCCGCACCGCGTCTTTCGCTTCGGGCCCCCACGGGCGGTCAAAGACGACCCAGAAGGAGCAACTTGCCCTGGGAAAGAGATCGAACGGTCTGGGGACCCATGTTCGGGCGTCCGTGATGGGGGGGGGGTAATCGCCGCGAGGGGTGAAGACACGTGCGCCTCTGCAATTTGGGAGTCGTTCGGGGCCCCCCTGTAGGGCCACTTTCCTGCATTTCCCCAAAGCAAATCGCCCCCCGGTGGCCGTCCGCCCCACCTGTCCCGAGAGCAAGGGCACGATCCGGGATCTCTGGGCTTGAGATGCCACCGACCTGGTCCCCCGTAGCGAAGTATGACACCCTGGAAACACTCTCCTTGCCGTCGCTCGGACGGCCATTTCCCGTGCCTTTGTCGGTTTCGTGCGTGTTTTGGGGCTCGATGGTCCCGGATGGTTCTCGACGTTTCTCGCCGAGAAAAAATCCACACGTCCGAGCGATGCCAGGTCTCAGAGAGCTGGCGGGACGTCTGCTCCGCTGGGCCGAGCGGCCGCGGCGCCAGTGTAGCACAGCTGCCGTCGGGCGGGCCGCGGGCTCTTGTGGCATTGGCCCGGCCCCGATGCCGAGCCCGTGCCCGCAGGTCCCGGCAGAGCAGGCACCGTGTGCCTCCACATCCTCCCCCCCCCCGCCGGAATGCAGACACACGTGGGGCCAGCGCACGACCACTGGTGCTGCTCTCCGTCGTCGTCCTCCTCTCCCCCTCCGACAACGAGCCAGGTGCAGAGCGGAGGTCCCCCCAACAACCACATCGGGAGCGGCGAGGGCAAGATGGGCCCAGTGGCTACACGGGCTGATTGCTCTGTCGCCGGTGGCACTCGATGCTGAGCATGGTGGCGTTGCATGCAACATCGCGACAAAGGCCGAATCCCGCTTCATCAGAGCTGCACATCCCACATCGTGTGCCCTCTCCTCCCGTCCGACACTGCCCAAGGAGACGACGCTCTGCTGTTGCCGATACCTCAGCACCTGCGTTGCCACGCTGCCCCGACGAAAGAAAGCAACACCAGCAGAACTGACGCGTTACAGCCACCGCTTTCATGAACTCCATTTGGCAAGGGGGCTTGGTGCGTTCAAGTTCCGGATGCGGAGCAGACATAATGGACTGAACAATACACGGGTCGAAAACCAACAGGGAAGGAAGCGCAATTTAAGAAACGACGGTCGCTCTCCAATATCGCTTGACGTTCACATCCGACCCTCGGCTGTGGGGTCTGAAAATAATCTCGACCTGAACGTGACACACCGTAGGAGCTCTAATTTTGGCGAGCAAACCTGTTCAGCGCGTCATGGAACCAGAAATCATGCTCGCAAACGTACAGGTAACAATGATTCCGCCGACCCTCAGCGCCAACGGCATGAGAGATGTCTGCCCCTCCCCGCGCTCCTTTGCGATTGGGGGTTGCTAGTCCTATGGGGCGGGTGGTTGTCGTCCAGTGGCTTCAGGCTGGGTGTGCTCGGTTCGTGAGTGCAGGCGACAAGCGAGGCCCGGACGAATGGCCCTCGCCAGGACTCACGGCCCAAATGGGGCGGGAGGGAGGCTGGAAGCCGCCATTCTCCCCCAAACGGCCCAAGAGAGACACAAGACGGCCCGAGTAGAGCCCCAAGATTGCCCCACGGAAGCCCAAGACAGCTCCAAGACAACCAAGTAGCCCCCTGAGACCGCCCAAGGAGGGCCCCTGAGAGAGCCCCAAGACTGACCCGCGAAAGCCCAAGACAGCTGCAAAACGACCCCAATAAGCCCCACAAGAGGAAGAGGTGTCACATTGACACACGTGATGACCCCGCGGGCAGTGCTCGAACGGCCGGCACCGATGGTGCTTCGCTAGTTCTGTGGCGGATGAGCCGCAGGCACCTGTGTTCAGACATGCAGTGTTCCAGTCTGTAAAGACGAGCGCTGCAGATGCTGCAGACGAGCGCTCAGACATGCAGTGTTCCAGTCTGCAAGGAAAACGTGGGCGCCGCAACAAGGGCAGTGATAATCGGCATCACGACCGTCCATGCTGCAAAACATGCACGAGATGAGCGAGCTACGCCTAGTGGGCAGTCTGTTTACCACTCTCTCACAGAGAGGCTTTCTCTTGGTCGCTCTCTCAGAGAGAGCTTCCCCTTCTACGCGCAACCATCGGCGGTGGTCCAGATCGTGCTGATTCGCTGCCCCGCTGCTCAAAATCGAGGTTTAAGCACCACAGGGCCCTGGCAAGGTGCTGCCGCCGGCTTCCGGGCGTTTCGTGCGGGGGAGAGGCCACGCAAGGTGGGGCGCAGAAAGATGCACCTTCCTCCCCGCCCCCCTCCTCGGCCCGGCACCCCCACCCAAAACCGGCACCCCCGCCCACAACCGACCGACACCCCCCTCCTGGCCCTCCTCCTCGCCTCCCCCCTTCGGCCCGGCACCCCCACCCAAAACCGACCGATACCCCCCTCCTGGCTCCGACATCCTCACCCCATGAAGCCTCTTCTCTTGGGGCCCCCCACCCCGCGATTTCTCCCCCAAAACCGACCGACCCCTCCCCCCTCCTCGCCCCCCTCTCCCCCCCCCTCCCCGTCTGCACCCCTGTCCGTCCCCCCCCCCCCCCTCGCTTCTCGCCGCCACCCCTCACGAGACGCCCTGAAGGCCCCGTGGAGGCGCTGCTGCTGTCGCCTCCAGGCCCCCAGCGGGGCCCCGACGTCAGCAGCTGCCGCTGGAAGAGGGAGGAGGAGGAGGAGGAGGAGGAGGAGGAGGAGGAGGAGGAGGAGGAGGAGGAGGAGGAGGAGGAGGAGGCGGAGGCGGAGGAGGAGGAGAGGAGGAGGAGGAGGAGGAGGAGGAGGAGGAGGAGGGGCCGCGACGACCTGATCTCAGCGGCTGCCGACCGCCGCCTCGGGTCCGGGCGCTCTCCGAGCTTGCTGCGGCGGCCACGGGGCCCCCTCCCAGCTCCCACTCGGGGGGTGCCTGCGTCGCTCGGAAGTCGAAGGACCTCGGGCACGCGCAGGGAGGACGGACGGAGGATTGGGAGGGTGGGCCAGAGAGGGAGGAAGAGAAAGAGAGAGAGAGAGAGAGGGAGAGGGAGAGAGAGAGACGGGGAGAAAGAGAGAGAGGGGGGGAGAGAAAGAGAGAGAGAGAGAGGGGGTCGACTGGAGGGATGAGGAGAACGGGAAGGGCAGCATCAGAAGCATGGACGAGCTGTTGGGTCGATCAGGGATGTAACGATCAAAGAGTCCACCTTCCTCTACGGCCTCTGCTGCTACGACTACTTGAAGATTTGCTCGCGCACGCCTGGAAGAAAAGAAGCTTACTGATTCGCTCCCAGCTGGAATGGCGGTATCAGTATTACCATGTCTATCCCGAACGCTAAGCTGAGCGGCTCTCCGAGCCGGGCGCAGCCTTGAAGGCAAAGAGCCCCCTCGACGGCAAAAAAAAACAACCAGTGGTACGCGCAACCGTCCAGCTGAAATACCAGCATTATTCTTACCACGCACACTCCGTCGGCAAGCTCATCCTGTACCTCCTGCAGTTATTCGCCGCACCAGTTATCCGCGCCTGAAGCCGCACCCCGTCGACTCTCAATAGTCGGGCCTCCCTCCTCTCCCAGCCTCAGCAGGATGGCCAGGATGGCAAAGGGCAGGGTAGAGAATCAGCTCACGTGACTGGTTGTCCTGGCGCCTCCTGGCGCCTGGAGGCGCCCATTTATTGAGGAATGGGCCTGGCGGCGGGGCCGAAACCAGCTGCATGCAGCAGACTTCGCAGCCCCCCTTCCCCATCCCCCCCCCGTCCGTTCGGCCCGAAACACTTCGCCACGGCGGGAAGAGCGGCACTAAATCCGGCTTTGGGAGGTCCGCGCACACTTCTTACCAGCCTGGAACATATCCCTATCCCTATGCTGGGCATCTCCTCATCACGATGCTAATCTCAGGAATTCCCTTCTTTTTTGAGGGCGAATCCCTAAGATTGCCATCGCCTTTTGGCGTGTCTCAATCTTAGGGATAGGGATAAGTTCGAGGCTGGTAGACTTCTCGTGTCCGCGCTGGGCCCCCCCTCCCTGGCGCACGGAGCGCGCCGGGGGCGGCGCGCCGCTCCGAGAGGTCCGCGCACGGGGGGGAACGAACAGAGACCCCCACACTGCTGCCCCCCGGACCTTGGGCGTGGCTTCATGGGGGGGTCATAAATGGGGGGGTCAGAAACGGTCCCCTTTCGTGCCCCTTTCGAGCCCCTCCGGACCCCCAGGGGGCTCGTTTAGGTACCGTTTGGGTACCTTTTCGGACCACCCTCGCCACCCCCCCATTTATGACCCCTCCATTACGCAACGCCCAAGGACCTCTCCCGGGGCGCGTCCTGGCCGGCAGCGGCATCGGTATCTCCTCCTCCTCCCCCTCCTCCTCGTCCTCCTGGACTTCCTCTGATCTGTGAGCCTTTTTTTTGTCGGCGTTTCGACACTGTCCGCAAGGGGGGGGGGGGAGGCTCCGGACCTCTGCTTAGGGCGACTGTTTGCAGCAGTGCGTCCTACCGGGGAGAGTCCACCTGCTGGAAACAGGCGCCAAAAAAGGCCAAGATCTACTCCACGGCTGGGGGGGTGGGGTGCGAGGGCCCGCGCCGATCGGTAAAACAATGAATAAGAAAACGGTCGCTATCTAGACCCAGCATTTGTTTGATGCGTGGACCCCCGGAGGTCTGGACCACGTCCCCAAGGCCACGTCTGCTTCATCCCGAGTCGTGCCTTGACGGCCCTGGGGGGGCCGTGGAGGGCCCCTAGGAAGCCGAATATAGTAAAGAACCTGGAGCCCGAAAACGCCTGGCAAGAGCCCAACCATATGCAGCTGCAAATATCGCAAGAGATGCCGCTCTCATCACAAGTAGCGCGCCGCGAGAGGGATGGAGCACGGAACAACGCGGATGGGAGCCCTGAGACGTGCGTGGGGTGTGCCGAAATGAGCGGGAGACGCATGCGGGTGATGCTGCTGGGGTGGGGCCACGAGGCGTGTGAGGGGTGCGCCAACTCGCCCCCGGCCGCCATGTGAACCCTGCCACTGGGGTCTTCGGTGGAGCTACGTGTGGGCCACGATCCTCGTGCGGGGTGTGCCGAGATGGCCCGAGGCCGCCATGCGAACCCTGCCACTGGGGCTTTCGGTGGAGCTCCTTTTGGGGCCACGATCCTCGTGAGGGGTGCGCCGGGATGGCCCGAGGCCGCCACGCGAACCCTGCCATTTGGGCCTTCGGTGGGGCTCCATGTGGGCCACGATCCTCGTGCGGGGTGTGCCGAGATGGCCCGAGGCCGCCTTGCGAACCCTGCCATTTGGGCCTTCGGTGGGGCTCAATGTGGGCCAAGATCCTCGTACGGGGTGTGCCGACATGGCCCGAGGCCGCCATGCGAACCCTGCCACTGGGGCCTTCGGTGGAGCTCCCTATGGGGCCACGATCCTGGTGAGGGGTGCGCCGAGGTGGCCCGAGGCCGCCATGCGAACCCTGCCACGGGGGCCTTCGGTGGAGCTCCTTTTGGGGCCACGATCCTCGTGAGGGGTGCGCCGAGATGGCCCGAGGCCGCCTTGCGAACCCTGCCATTTGGGCCTTCGGTGGGGCTCCATGTGGGCCACGATCCTCGTGCGGGGTGTGCCGAGATGGCCCGAGGCCGCCATGCGAACCCTGCCACTGGGGCCTTCGGTGGAGCTCCCTATGGGGCCACGATCCTGGTGAGGGGTGCGCCGAGATGGCCCGAAGCCGCCATGCGAACCCTGCCACGGGGGTCTTCGGTGGAGCTACGTGTGGGCCACGATCCTCGTGCGGGGTGTGCCGAGATGGCCCGAGGCCGCCATGCGAACCCTGCCACTGGGGCCTTCGGTGGAGCTCCATATGGGGCCACGATCCTCGAGAGGGGTGCGCCGGGATGGCCCGAGGCCGCCACGCGAACCCTGCCACGGGGGCCTTCGGTGGAGCTCCTTTTGGGGCCACGATCCTCGTGAGGGGTGCGCCGAGATGGCCCGAGGCCGCCTTGCGAACCCTGCCATTTGGGCCTTCGGTGGGGCTCAATGTGGGCCAAGATCCTCGTACGGGGTGTGCCGACATGGCCCGAGGCCGCCATGCGAACCCTGCCACTGGGGCCTTCGGTGGAGCTCCCTATGGGGCCACGATCCTGGTGAGGGGTGCGCCGAGGTGGCCCGAGGCCGCCATGCGAACCCTGCCACGGGGGCCTTCGGTGGAGCTCCTTTTGGGGCCACGATCCTCGTGAGGGGTGCGCCGAGATGGCCCGAGGCCGCCTTGCGAACCCTGCCATTTGGGCCTTCGGTGGGGCTCCATGTGGGCCACGATCCTCGTGCGGGGTGTGCCGAGATGGCCCGAGGCCGCCATGCGAACCCTGCCACTGGGGCCTTCGGTGGAGCTCCCTATGGGGCCACGATCCTGGTGAGGGGTGCGCCGAGATGGCCCGAAGCCGCCATGCGAACCCTGCCACGGGGGTCTTCGGTGGAGCTCCTTTTGGGGCCACGATCCTCGTGCGGGGTGTGCCGAGATGGCCCGAGGCCGCCATGCGAACCCTGCCACTGGGGCTTTCGGTGGAGCTCCTTTTGGGGCCACGATCCTCGTGAGGGGTGCGCCGGGATGGCCCGAGGCCGCCACGCGAACCCTGCCATTTGGGCCTTCGGTGGGGCTCCATGTGGGCCACGATCCTCGTGCGGGGTGTGCCGAGATGGCCCGAGGCCGCCTTGCGAACCCTGCCATTTGGGCCTTCGGTGGGGCTCAATGTGGGCCAAGATCCTCGTACGGGGTGTGCCGACATGGCCCGAGGCCGCCATGCGAACCCTGCCACTGGGGCCTTCGGTGGAGCTCCCTATGGGGCCACGATCCTGGTGAGGGGTGCGCCGAGGTGGCCCGAGGCCGCCATGCGAACCCTGCCACGGGGGCCTTCGGTGGAGCTCCTTTTGGGGCCACGATCCTCGTGAGGGGTGCGCCGAGATGGCCCGAGGCCGCCTTGCGAACCCTGCCATTTGGGCCTTCGGTGGGGCTCCATGTGGGCCACGATCCTCGTGCGGGGTGTGCCGAGATGGCCCGAGGCCGCCATGCGAACCCTGCCACTGGGGCCTTCGGTGGAGCTCCCTATGGGGCCACGATCCTGGTGAGGGGTGCGCCGAGATGGCCCGAAGCCGCCATGCGAACCCTGCCACGGGGGTCTTCGGTGGAGCTCCTTTTGGGGCCACGATCCTCGAGAGGGTGTGCCGCCGCGGCCGCCATGCGAACCCTGCCACTGGGGCCTGGAGCTCCTTTTGGGGCCACGATCCTCGAGAGGGGTGTGCCGGACTGGCCCGAGGTAGTGAACCCTGCCACTGGGACCTTCGGTGAGCTCCCTAGGGGACCACGACAGTCCCTGACGGCGATGATGATGACAATGATGGTGATGATGGCGGCGATGCTAGTGGTGATGATGATGACGACGATGATGGTGATGATGATCAAAAGAGTGATGATGATGTTGATGATCACGGTGTTGGTCTTGATGATGATGATGATGATGATGGTGATGATGATGATGATGATGATGATGATGATGCTGATGATGATGATGATGATGATGGTGACGCTGGTGATGGTGATGCTGATGATGACGATGATGGTGATGATGAACGACCGTGACTTATAGTGTGGTTCGTTCACCAGCAGCCGACTTGAAAATGACGTGACGGGCTGCTGCAAGGACGCCATCAAGATGCTCATCGCGCAGCGGTTGACCAGGCTCGTGCACGGCCTTGGCTTTGTTACGCACATGAATCGCCAGGATACAGAGCGTCAGTGCTCCAGCTCGGTTCATCGCACAATCTGCGGTATTGCATTCGCTGGGGGCCGCAAGGCCCAGCAGGTGGATGGGAGAGGCGGAACAGTCAAGGAGGCCACGAGGAACTGGACAGGAAAGGTAGTGGGCGATCGCGTCGGGCACATCGGCGCATCCGAAGAGGCGGAAGCGGTGCCACAAACGTGCATACGGTGTGTGGTCGTCCACCCTCCTGCGAGTGTTTTGGGCACTTACCATTGCAACGACGGGCGCTGCGTCCGAAGGACCGAGAGACACTCCGCCCAACGTTCCCCAACCGACCCCGTTGTCAGCTGCAACAAACCCCATGCACGCAGTCGCTTGTCAATGGTGAACTGGAAACCGGGTGGGAAGAGGGAGCGACCTAAAGAGGTGGAGGTGATACACTGCACCTTAGCCTTGCGACCAGCGGCACGGGCGTTACTGAGATCATAGCGGGCCGCAGCAGCGGCAGTCACCCACTGCGTGTCAGTGACGCTTGGATCGGAGGCATGCTCCTGGAGCGATTGAAACCTGGTCGCCGTTGTGCGACCTCCAGTTCCGCTGCATCAAGTGAGCGGAGCCGGAATTCATCAGTGGAGCAGACGAACATTCCCATCATCAACCTGAAGACAGCGAGCCCCTTCTTCCGGGGTCGATTGGATCACGGCAACAAGGGAGGCGTCCTGTCGCCAAACCGCTCGCGAATGTTTATCGTTCTCCCACCGCGTGCTCTGCGGTCATCCAGTCGGAATAGCAATCGCGGAAGTTCATCTCGAGTCTGGCGGGCAGCCTCCAAGATGAAGTCCTTCGCGTGGAGTCGCTGCTGGACGGGCGAGAAGCGCTCTAAGCCATCGACGGCGAGCAAACTGTCCAGCATTTCCTTGAACCTTCCGTCGCTGAAAAGCACATCAAGGATGCGATGTTCGGCGGCGTGAGATGATGCTTTGGTGCGGAGCGAGGGGCAGAGCATGGAGTGGTCGCTCTGCCTGGACTGCGACATCACCATGGGATTCGCATCGCTCGTGGCGAAAACGTCTGAGTGCATCAGGTAGTGCTCAGGAATGCAAGTAAAGGTCCTGTCGGCTGCTGGCGAGAATATGGAAGAGAATCTGGAGGGTTGGGCGGCAGCTCGCCCCTTGCTGTGGCTGCGGAGACATGAAAGCAATTATTCTGGCTGGGATGGTAGCCCGCTCCGCTAAGACAGCTCAAACCATTATCTTGGATCCTTGGGCCAAAACGGCTACGGGTAATGAAGATGATGATGCGGGTGATGGTGATGATGGTGATGATGGTGATGCTGACGATGCTGCTGATGATGCTGAGGATGATGATGATGAGGATGATGAGGATGATGATGATAAGAACATGCGGGGCGCGGATAACACACAATACTGCGAGGAAGAGTGGAAGGAGGAAAGGAGGAAAGAAAACAACGCGAAGCGCTGTCTCTTCAAACCGAGGACCTGGCACCACAGGAGTGTAGGGGAACAAAGGAAAACATAAACGACAACGGCCGCTCATAGTGTTTCGGCTCCTCAGGTCTCTGGGGTGATTGGGGCACTGTGCTGCCATTAGTTCCTTCCTCCTCCTCCTCCCGCTCCTCCTCCTCCTCCTCCTCCCCCTCCTCCTCCTCCTACTACTACTACTACTACTACTACCACCACTACTACTACTGCTACTACTACTACTACTACTACTACCACCACCACCACTACCACTACCACTACCACTACCACTACCACTACCACTACCACTACCACTACCACTACTACTACTACTACTACTACTCTACTACTACTACTACTACTACTACTACTACTACTACTACTACTACTACTACTACTACTACTACTACTACTACTACTACTACTACTACTACTACTACGAATACTACTACGAATACTACTACGACTACTACTACAACTGCTACTACTACTACTACTACTACTACTACTACTACTACTACTACTACTACTACTACTGGTAAAACTACTACTACTACTACTACTACTACTACTACTACTACTACTACTACTACTACTACTACTACTACTACTACTACCCTGTGACGCCCCTCATGGGGATAGAAACCAACTGGGTGCAGTTTACTCCGTGGAGCGTCGTGGTGTCTCCTCCTCCACTCGTGTGCTTGCGCCAGGCTCGCAGGAGGAGGAGGAGGAAGAGGCGGAGGAGGAGGAAGAGGAGGAGGCGGAGGAGGTGGAGAAAAAGGAGAAGGAGGATGAAGAGGGGGAGGAAGGATTAAA